TATCCTATATGAAGAACAATGAGATGCTTACCTTAGCTTTTATCACGATGGATGACAGGTTCATTGCTTCATAAAGATCATTTCTAGTTTCTGCAATTAAGAGTGACAGCTTGGAGGGCCATTATCACATAGCACCCAAAGGCTGCAGAAGGTGAGCAGCTTGGACACAGTACTTCCAGTACACCGTTTTCTGCTCCTGGGACTCCTCTGTGCAGCAGAATGATTCAAGCTACACACCAGGTCAAAACTCCAACAGGTACCAGAGTATGTACTGTGGTGGAGATTTATCAAAGTGTTTGTTGTAAAAAAATTAATTAAAAAAAGTGGTCTAAAGTACTAATGGTAGTTCAATAACTAAAAAACCCATTAGGCACATTCCATTGGTGACTCTTCCCCTTTAATAGTTTTTTCACCACTTATTATTTTATTATTTATATAGCTCCAGCAAATTCTGTAGCGCTGTACAATGGTGTATCCACCAGCATTCACGTTTGTTCAAAATTATGGCTTTCCAACTTTTTAAATGTGCATAATAATAGAAAATTCAATAACTGACTGTGTGCGTGTTTACCTTTATAATGTATAACCTTTAAGATAAAGCACTTCTGGTACTTCAAGTTTCATCCAATTATGACAGTGTTTATAGGTGAACATTTCCATTGACCACCTGAACTTTCATCAGAACAACATATTAAAAAAACAAAAAAACGGCACATATTTAATACAAATAAAGTAAACGTGTACTCACCCACTTCTACACTCAAAGTATGGCGCACTCGCTAGCACAGAACAGCAGTGTTGTCTTGGCAACGGGACGCTACCTGTGATAAACAAGTTAAAAACAATCTTATCAAATTCACAATAATAACCTCATATGGTTATGGGCAGATAATCTGCAACTACAGTATAGAATACTTGCATTTGTATGATCTGGTAAGATATCCAGTACAGGTGATACTCGAAAAATTAGAATATTGTGCAAAAGTTAATTTATTTCAGTAATGCAACGTAATAGGGGAAACTAATATATGAGATAGACGCATTATATGCAAAGCAAGATAGTTCAAGCCGTGATTTGTCATAAATGCGATGATTATGGCTTACAGTTGATGAAAACTCCAAATCCACAATCTCAGTAAATATATATAACAATATTGGACCTCTGAAAAGTATAAGCATGCACATGGACTCAGTACTTGGTTTGGGCCCCTTTTGCAGCAATTACTGCCTCAATGCGGCGTGGCATGGAAGCTTTCAGCTTGTGGCACTGCTGAGGTGCTATGAAAGACCAGGATGCTTTAATAATGGCCTTCAGCTCTTCTGCATTGTTCGGTCTCATGTCTCTCATCTTTCTCTTGGCAATGCCTCATAGATTCTCTATGGGGTTCAGGTCAGGCAAGTTTGCTGGTCAATCAAGCACAGTAATCCCACTGTCATTGAACCAGGCTTTCGTGCTTTTGGCAGTGTGGGCAGGTGCCAAGTCCTGCTGGAAAATGAAGTCAGCATCCCCATAAAGCTCGTTTGCGAAAGGAAGCATGAAGTGCTCTAAAATCTCCTGGTAGACCGCTGCGTTGACCCTGGACTTAGTGAAGCACAGTGGACCAACACCAGCAGATGACATGGCTCCCCAAATCATCACAGACTGTGGAAACTTCCCACTGGACTTCAAGCATGTTGCAGTGTGTGCCTCTCCATTCTTCCTCCAGACTCTGGGTCCTTGGTTTCCAAATGAGATGCAAAAGTTGCTCTCATCAGAAAAGAGGATTTTGGACCACTGAGCAACAGACCAGGTCTGTTTTTCTTTATTCCAGGTAAGACGCTTCTGACATTGTTTGTTGTTCAGGAGCGGCTTGACAAGAGGAATACGACATCTGAAGCCCATGTCCAGGATCCATCTGTGTGTGGTGGCTCTTGATGCACTGCTCCAGCCTCAGTCCACTCCTTGTGAAAATACCCAACACTTTTGAATGGCCTTTTCCTGACAATCCTCTCCAGGCTGCGGTTATCCCTGCTGCGTGTGCACCTTTTTTTTCCATACTTTCCCCTTCCACATAACTTTCTATTAATGTGCTTTGATACAGCACTTTGGGAACATCCAACTTCCTTCGCAATTATCTTTTGAGGCTTTCCCTCCTTATGTAGGGTGTCAATGATGGTTTTCTGCACAACTGTCAGGTCAGCAGTCTTCCCCAGGATTGTGATTCCTACTGAACCAGACTGAGAGACCATTTAAAGGCTCAGAAACCCTTTGCAGGTGTTATGGCTTACTTAGCTGATTAGAGTGGGACACTGTGATCCTACAATATTGCACCTTTTCACAATATTCTAATTTACTGAGATTGTGGATTTGGGGTTTTCATGAGCTGTAAACCATAATCATCGCACTTATGACAAATCACGGCTTGAACTATCTTGCTTTACATGTAATGCGTCTATCTCATATATTAGTTTCCCCTTTTACGTTGCATTACTGAAATAAATGAACTTTTGCACAATATTCAAATTTTTCGAGTATCACCTGTATATACACACACAACACACACTCACAAAAATAATGTAAATAGAATATAGGTTATGCTTTTTTTCTAGATGGAGTGGAACAAAAAGAGATAGGATTATTTAATTTGTATTAATAAGTTATACACATTCATTATGGAATCAGAGGACTCAATGGTGCAGACAAAACTGTAATTGTGATGTAATTGATTATACATTCTGTAGTAAAAGGCAATCTATTATTTGTTCAGGTATGGAGCAAAAAACACATTCAGAGTTTCAAACTGACTTTATAACTACTGAAATTAAAGCGGCCCTTGATATTCCAATGCAATCAAAAGATACCATAAGACAAAGTAGGGACTACTTTAAAGGCAGGACTCCAAAAATGAACTTTTGTCCAATACCAGCAGCTGCCACAAGGGGGATTTGCTCATGGTCTCTCTCATCGTAAGACTTCATCTATGGAAACTCCCTCGGTCTCACAGGCCCGTCCATAGATCTCAGTATTGAATTCTCTTGCATGATCTAGATTCTAGAGTGTAGCACAGATGCGGCTTCAGGCAAATGAAGGCAAGTTAAACCTACCTTCCACTGCATCCCATGGCCCGTGACCAAAATATGCAAAGACCCTGTGAAAGCGACAGTGCTGCTCACTCATTTCCAAAGGCACTAGTATAACTAATTGATTTAGGGGGCAAAAAGAAAAAAAATATATGGGTGCTCTAAGCCTCTAATAGGCTCCATAAATACATGTTATAATGCGTCCTGCAAGTATAGTCAATAGGTCATGTAATGTAATCAAATTAGGCTTTAAACCTGGGCCCAGTCATCCTGTGTTATTTCTACTGTGTCCATTTTAATTTGAACACCAGGAATACAAAGCGAATTTCACATTTTAAACTAAAATAGCCGAATAGGAAGTATAGTTAAATTGGAAATTACCTGCATTTAGACAATCTCTCAACACTCCATGGAAGTTTTGAAGTGGCGAGTACATTTTAGGAGTGACTGGTAGCTCAGGACACATACATACATATTTGTACACGCATGTATAGAAATATATTTACATTTGTATAAAGGGGAAATTACCTCCTCTTTAAATGAGAATTATGTGCTTGTCTAAAACGTATGTCTGGATATAAAACATTACACACACACACACATGCACAAACAATTCTTTTAACAAACTCAAGAGGAAAATAATAAAACATTATGGCAATAAGCTCTCCACAACTATACTAATTTATCTTGATTCAAGAGCTCCTTGTGTGTAAAAGCATTTCCTGTCAAACCTGGAAGCAATTACTTGTAATAGGATAATCCCTCATCTGTCACTTATGAATAGTAAATTCACAGAGATAACATGTGGCAACACTATGGTCCAACATACAATAACTAGAACATTGTTACAGGCACACACTGCCAGTGTATGCAGTCTTTTATACACACTTAAAATAACACACACTAACATGGCATTTACTCACTCAATGTTTAAATAACAAAGTTAGCCTGTAGATCACGGCTTGGCACACTTCCATAAAATAATTAATTGGGGATACTTACACAATACTCCATGCACTATAACAACATCAGTGTTTAGAAGATGGATGCACACATTGTCCAATACAGGCGCTCTCCCTTCCAATGTCTCTATCAGTCTCCATGTGGCTCAGGATGACAACGACACACTTGGCTCAAAATGATTCTCTATGAGAAGTTTGGATATTTTTTGACTGCATCGCCGATTTGTTTTTGTTTTTCAATTTTGTGAATTGAGGTTTTGTATTTTATTTTCAAGAGTTGCGTTCCATATTATGGATTTCAATTTGCCCCACTTAAGGTTGAAGATAAGAAGATTTACAAGAAAAACGACTTCAGATGGTAAGTATAATTTCTTTCTTTCTACAGGTATTAGTTTAATGCCCCCTCACTATTATTAGAGTGAGAGGGGGTAGGTAGTCATTTAATTAAACAGGGCCAGGGGCCTGGAGGGGCGGAGGACTATGCACTAATTGGGGATGTGGACAATGGCATGTCTACCTCTCCCGTGTATAATTATTTAGAGCCTCCACCTGCCACCCATGGGTGGTGGCCAAGGTGGGGATATTTGATCACCCTCTCTTATATTATTATTAGAGCTCCACTTGCGAGAAAATGGGTGGGGACTGGGGAGAGGACATTTGATCTTCAATTGGTATAACATGAGTAGCTCCCACCTGCAGGGGGATGGACAGTGATCTATTCACCCCCAGTTATTTAAAATCCCCCACCCAATTTCACTCCCCTGTCATTTTACAGCCCATTTCCAATGGGTGGAGGATTTTGGATGACCATTTGCCACCCCTGTTTTTATGTATTTAATAGAACAGCCCCCCTGTTATTTTACAGCCCATTTCCAATTGGTGGAGGGATTTGGATGAACCTTCGCCACCCCTGTTTTTATGTAATTTAAAGGACCACTCTAGGCACCCAGACCACTTCAGCTTAATGAAGTGGTCTGGGTGCCAGGTCCAGCTAGGGTTAACCCATTTTTTCATAAACATAGCAGTTTCAGAGAAACTGCTATGTTTATGAATGGGTTAAGCCTTCCCCCTAATCCTCTAGTGGCTGTCTCATTGACAGCCACTAGAGGCGCTTGCGTGCTTCTCACTGTGATTTTCACAGTGAGAGCACGCAAGCGTCCATAGGAAAGCATTATGAATGCTTTCCTATGTGACCGGCTGAATGCGCGCGCAGCTCTTGCCGCGCGTGCGCATTCAGCCCAGGAGGAGGAACGGAGGAGGATCAGAGGAGGAGAGCTCCCCGCCCAGCGCTGGAAAAAGGTAAGTTTTTAACCCTTTCCCCTTTCCAGAGCCGGGCGGGAGGGGGTCCCTGAGGGTGGGGGCACCCTCAGGGCACTATAGTGCCAGGAAAACGAATATGTTTTCCTGGCACTATAGTGGTCCTTTAATAGAACAGTTATTTTACAGCAGGCATACAGTTCTGATTCTTTTTTTTTTTTCAATACCATTTTTATTGTGAATGTCAGATGGAAATAATGTATTGTGTACAATATCATTCTTCAAAATTTGTGAACAATGAGCTGTTATACGGTTGACATAGCAAAGGAAATACGGTACATCCACAGTTTTTTTCTTTTCATAAGTAACAAAACATAATTAAAAAGAAAAAAAAACGAAGAAAAATACTGTAACAAAAAGGAGGCAATGTTTACATCCAGGCCCCTTAAATAGATAATGTTCACTTAGTGTAGGCATTATCGCTTCGTTAATGTCTGCAATAACATGTCACATCATAAGTAGTTATATCTGGTTAGAGTTTGTTGTTTAGTAACGTGTGAATAGGTAAGATTGAGTGTCTGTCAATTAGTAAGTACTAATTTAATTTAGTTAAAACTTGGAATCGGGTTTAAAGCATCTGGGCCTGAAGTTCAAACATATATCTATTACAACAAGCTGCAGTGGTTGTGGTGCTTAGGGTGTTATTGTTTAAAGTATTTATTTAAGCACAACACATTGCATATTTAGAGTCCCTTCTAAACCAAACAAGATTTTGTAATAGAGATGGGGGGGAAAGCTGTATCCTTATACGACAGTTCCAGCTTCTGCGAAAAATGTTTTATGCTCATGGACAACTGAATTCTTGGATAGATATAATGGAATCTATAGTTTTTAATCTCAGGCGTAACGTAGCCCCGGCAGGATGATGTTAGCTACCTGGGTGGACAAGATCTGCAGTAATTATGGGGGAAGGGGAGGGAGGTTGAAATTTATGTTGATTTGTCATATGTGCTGCAATGCTAATAGCTTCCATCAGACCACGCGCAAATTAGTAATTGAGGGAACAGAGACAGAATAAAACTGTGAGTGGAATGAATCACAAGGTAGCAAGCAGCACAGGTGTCCAGTTACACCCACCTCTCATACATTCAGCTCATTAACTGAAAACACAACCCGTTAACCTTTTGGATGCCAGAGAGCTGAGAAGGTAAAGGGGGAGGATACTATGATTTAGAAAACAATTATCTGAAACTAGGTGGAGTCCACGTAACCCAATTTATTGCAGTGTGAATTCCTATTTTTTTGTAAACAGTATCAATACCTAGCAAGACAAAACATCAAACTTTTCCATGAATTGTCATTCATGAACACTGATAGAAAATAATACAGTCATCTGTCACCAGAAAATTAATTCACAAATACATTCATCTATACATTGTGCTAGCAAAATCGCAATAAATCATAAAAAAAAAAAAAAAAAAAAGACTTTTTTGCCTAACGGATAAGTTGATGGAAACTGATGGAGTCTTAGAAACATAGAAACATAGAATGTGACGGCAGATAAGAACCATTCGGCCCATCTAGTCTTCCGAATTTTCTAAATACTTTCATTAGTCCCTGGCCTTATCTTATAGTTAGGATAGCCTTATGCCTATCCCACGCATGCTTAAACTCCTTTACTCCTCTCGTACCTCTCACCTACTGCAAATTCATTGAGTATGATCATTATCAGCTATGGAAGATCCAGGCGTCTTCACGGTTTTGTTAATAGTGAATTGGATCCAGCAGATAGAATCACCAGGAGCTGTCCTAGTACCTGTCATAGTACACAAAAGCAAATTAAATTCCACCTATACATTGTAAATTTAATGACAGATAAGTTTAAAGGACCACTCTAGGCACCCAGACCACTTCAGCTTAATGAAGTGGTCTGGGTGCCAGGTCCAGCGAGGGTTAACCCATTTTTTTCATAAACATAGCAGTTTCAGAGAAACTGCTATGTTTATCAATGGGTTAAGCCTTCCCCTATTTCCTCTAGCAGCTGTCTCATTGACAGCCACTAGAGGCGCTTGCGTGCTTCTCACTGTGATTTTCACAGTGAGAGCATGCCAGCGTCCATAGGAAAGCATTATGTCTCTTGCCGCGCGTGCACATTCAGCCGACGGGGAAGAACGGAGGAGGATCGGAGGAGGAGAGCTCCCCGCCCAGCGCTGGAAAAAGGTAAGTTTAACCCCTTTTCACCCTTTCCAGAGCCGGGCGGGAGGGGGACCCTGAGGGTGGGGGCACCCTCAGGGCACTATAGTGCCAGGAAAACGAGTATGTTTTCCTGGCACTATAGTGGTCCTTTAATGACATATTCAAATTGAATTTTTATTTTAGAAACCAAGGGGAGCACAGTTATATAAAATAAAAAACATATCTAACATTTTATTTTTTTTATTTGATTTATTTATTTTTCTTTTTATCATGAGGTTTCTCTAACCAAATAAGTACATCCAAAAGGCTTGCAATTGAGGAGTAACAAAATAACCGTTTTGGCGCGGGGCTCAGATCCAGAAGTTATGAAAATGGAAAAAAATAACTTTGTTATGAAAATAAAACTTTGCTTTTATTTATCGACGTTTCAGTTTTTCAATTAAAACTTTCATCCATTATATAATAGTAAAGTAAATAAAATAGATTATTAGATAATCACTTTTTATGAAGTCTGCTTTGTCTTTTTAGCACTAAATTCTTTAACCCCTAACATTTTAATACTGCAAGCTCGAAGCTGCAAAAGCATTGGATAATGAATATCTGTCAGTGCATTTCCACAATCTCCAAACTCAGAGAATAATAATGTTTTGTAGAGTTTCTGGATTGGCTCTGGCCAAATGCTGCTGTCATTTATATGCTCCTGTTGACATCACCAACATTATACGTCAGTGAGTGTATACACCAAATATCATCAAATAGGAAGAATGCTGGACAGACAGAATTACCCAGCTAACCGTAAAATAGAAAAATAAAACCATAACCTTTTTATTGTGTGCTGTATGTGCATGTTACAGTTTACGCCAGGTAGACAGGGGGAACCTCTATACAATTTTAATTTCTATTGCTCAGGGTACAACAGAATACAAAACTTCATGTCCATTCTTTTCCAGTGAATTCTGATCAACTCTACGTATCCCAGAATGACTTGTTCCTCTGAGAACATTAGCATATGTTCTATGCTTCTAGGTCTCTAGAGGTGTTCAGTTTATAATGGATAAATAACATGGCACTTATGGTTAAATTACATATATGCAGGCAGTCAATGTGCTTAATATTTAGCATGTGTGTTATGTCCTACATCATCTGTTTGTCCCTAATTCTCCAAAAGAATGTGGATTTCAGATCCTTGGGAATGATTACTAAACGGACATTATGGGACACAAAAAATATAAGTTTAATGCTTAAACTCACATTTTGTGTTTAACCTATATTGGTGAGTACAGTTTTGAAGTATAATATCTAACTTGATTATTGTATTGTATAACGATTGTAAAATTCTGTTTAGTATTATAATCATTTCAGAATAATAATATTTTGAGATCGTGTGTAACTACTGCCTTTAACAGAAGCCGGTTAAGCCTACCTGAAAGATAAACGGTATAACTTAGTAAGATAATCAGCCACGCTTCACAGAGTAAATCTGGATGATTTTTGTCTTTAACGGACGCAGAGATCATCAATAACAGGGGGAGCCTGATCTTTAATGTGAGTTGAAATTTATTCCCCTGACTTATCACTCCCACGGCCAAAGAAAAATTCAAGGTACAACCGTAAAACATGTCCATCAGGACAGATTGCTGGAGTAGTGAGAAGCAATGGGTCTGGATGACTGAATATGTAACCGTTCTATCTGTACTCTCTGTTATGTCTGCTGTAAATTAATAGCTACTGGCTCACAAAGAGCATTCGGTAATTTAAGGTAAATAACTAGGCCTTAATGGGTCTAAGGAGTTGATCTAGAACTTAAATTGATTCAATGCTTTCCTATGGGGAGGTCTAATGCACGTCAGAGGGGGCGGAGGGTTAACCAAGAACCAAGGGACATCGGCCTGGGATAAGGTAAGTAAATAAATGGTTTTTAACCATCTATACACCCAGGCAGGGGGCACAAGGGAGGGGGGTTAGCAGCGGGAGTGACAGTGCCAGGAATACAGCTTTGAATTTCTGGCACTATAGTATCTCTTTAACTCCATATGTGATACTAGGTGTATAAATCTTGGACACTATTTCGCAATATATAAAAACAAGAGAACTTTCAAGTTGGCTCTTCACATGACATTACACAATTTCTGCTCACTCCAGTCCTTAAAACCACAAACTAGATCAGTGGATGAGTTCAGCTATAATATCACCACCACCAATGAATTTCAAAATGTCTCCCACCATATTGGACTCTTACCATGCATGTGAGCAAGGGTTTGATGTCATTGCATAGTCATACTGTAATTCTGGTTTAGTAAAATGATAATTGACTGTTAAACAGATTAACTAAATAGTCGCAATGTAGCTTTATATATTTGGCTCAATAGAGGAGACAATCCACTTTAAAGGACCACTATAGTGCCAGGAAAACATACTCGTTTTCCTGGCACTATAGTGCCCCGAGGGTCCCCCTCCCGCCGGGCTCTGGGGGGAGGAAGGGGTTAAACTTACCTCTTCCTCCAGCGCCGGGCGGGGAGCTCTCCTCCTCCTCTCCTCCTCTTCGGCTGAATGCGCATGCGCGGCAGGAGCAGCACACGCATTCAGCCAGTCCATAGGAAAGCATTCACAATGCTTTCCTATGTACGCTGGCGTCTTCTCACTATGATTTTCACAGTGAGAAACGCGGAAGCGCCTCTAGCGGCTGTCAATGAAACAGCCACTAGAGGCTGGATTAACCCTAACATAAACTGCTATGTTTA